ACTAAAACAATATTGAATGTTTTCGCATACAAAAAAAATGGCGACTGTGTTGTACTTCTGTAATTGTGAGGTGGACATGATCTGTTGAAATGGAGAAAAGTTCAGTACGAACGTTTTAAGTGTTTTGGAGACTGAGGGCCTGGTGGTTTGCTTAAGAAAACTGTTATGAAAGAAATATTTCTATAGTCCTTTGTGAACTTTTTATGTTTTATTATTTTACAAAGTTGGAATTGCATTGTTTTTCATGCTGACTTTACAAGCCGTTTATTCAGTGAAAACATGGGTGGCATGTTTTTGAAGAAACCAAACGTTTAAATTTTGATTGGTCATTATGTAAATGTCATGTGACTTTTCATAGTCTGTTGTCGGAGATGCAGGATCTTAACCACATTTATTCTTTCACACTGTTGCATGAAACAAAGTCTTGTACCACAAAAGCTCCCTTTTGATTGGGATACCACCTTGTGGGCCTTGGAGGGGACAACAAAGATTCTGATTGCAAGGAGATTGAAATTGGATGGAGCAACAGTTAATACCCTGGATGAACAGTAAAAAGTTGTAAAAGTCGGCGGTCATTTGATGTGACCTTAATTTATTACAGTCGTCTCACAGGTTGGATGAGGCTGTGAGATGGACATTGGATGACACTGATACCTGTTTGAATGTCAAGGTCGTGGATGAGTGAATCTGGACAATGTCGGTTCCATGTGAGTGAGCGAGAGAGTGGGAATGAGGGTATGTGACCAGTGGTGGTGATCCATTTTTATTGCCACAATATACAGGAAGTGAGCAGTGACACCTGTAGGCCCAAAATATCGTTAATCTCCCTCGGGTATTACAATGGCAAGCATGCTTGTGGACAGAGCCCGTTATGGTGTCCCTTAGAGGGGTTTCTTTGAATACCAGTGAGTTTTATTGTCCCGGGAACATGATCACATAATTACAGGCGGAAAACTTGGGAAAACTTTTTATTCCGAGATATTAGCCTCTGCTATAAAAAGCATTCATTCATTCAGATAAAAAAGTGACAGCAAGGGTATATTAAGAACTTTATGACACCTTTCACTTGCATGTCACATTTCCGATTTATTTAACTCCTCATTCATCTGTGGGAAGCATGATACTATTCTCCCCTTGCTTTCACTCATGCATTGTCACTCAATTATCTAACATCGCAGAGTAAGAATAGAACAGCGATGCCATCTGGTGTCTGTTTGGTGAGGTACGGGATGCAGCTGATAGATTGCGAGGACTTTTATCATAGGTCATTGAACAGGTATACATGCTCGGAATGGAGCCTGGGAATTTTCCTCCTGGAGTTGATAAAAACCAAGATAGATGTCTAAATATTGTAGTAATATTACTACCAAGCAGACGAGGGGTGGATGTAAATCGACAATTTTGAATTCAGTGATGGGCATCTCCTAGTTATGAATTACCCAGCAGTCGAGCATGGAGTATGACAATGCACTAATGGGATGCTAGGGTGGGGTTTTCCTCGTGTACATGCTCCCTCACCCCCCTCCAGCCCCCCCTCGGACAATCCATTGATGCACATCATGGCACATGAATACCTGTGTATCCCCATATTAAGGACAGATGTGTAACGAAATGATACTTATGATGTTAAAGATTATTGTCTTGATGGCCGCCTGACGAGGCTGAGCGGAAACCAGGGGGTTACCACATTTAGTAAAAGGCGTGGGACCATTAAGAAATTGTTAATGTCTATTCCAGCGTAGAGAATAAGAATAACTACAGGAAATAGTTCAGATGAAAAATGATTATTTCAGTTAAATTAGATCTTAGAATTTGAAAGGGGAGTGAAAAGGTTTGGGGCTAATTGGCTAATACTCTTTTTACTTGAAGATTGAATTGTATTTGTAATTCATTGGAGTTTATTAACTTGCTCAAATTTATTAGAATGGATTTTTTGTCAAAGGATTGGGAATTTAGTAGACAGTAATTTTGTTATAATATATTTGTATATTGTGGGTGATGCGTACAAGCCTTTAGGGCTATTCGCGATGTTATTGCTTGAGGATAAGTTTGCTTGTCTAGATGTGAGAGCCACATTCCTACCAAGATGCTGCTATACACCACCGAACACCTTTATACAAATACTGACAGAAATCCTTCATGTTTGTTAGTTTTTGTAACACGCCTATCAAAATGAGGAATCAGATACGAATTTGCCCGATGTTGTGTGCGAAATAACAAGGGCATATTACGCATTGTAAAAAAAATGTGCACTTGATGCTGAACTTCAAAGTGCATCTGAGGTGTATTGCAACAGATGTCATAATAACCTCCGTTGCAACAAGTATGTGTGTAGCTCTTCCTTTCACCTCCCTGTATGCAATCTGTTCCCCTCAAGAGATGATCATTGTTTAGGCTGGGGGTCAGGTTACACAGATAGTAAAGTAATTGCAGTTTTGAGATTTGAACTTGCATTCTGTATAGGGTTTTTCAGTACAAATTTGAGCCAGTGTTTGTGTGGTGGCATTGTGCAGCTGGGTGGGAGCTCGCGATGATTATACAGTAGACAATTGTGGCGTTTCTTTAATTTTAAATATTGTACAGTTGTAAAGGGCTGTGACTCACTGGGTCGCTGGCTGAAATAATAGCCATAGGCTTCGAGAAGTGTTTTGATTTAACCACAGACGACAATATTGTATTGTGGCTGAAGTTGGAGTGTTGTTTGTTCTTTTCGGTGAATTTCCCAAAATTCTTTACAGCTATGAAAGATATGTTAAATAGCATACAGTATTGATAACATCCTAAACCTCTTAATTAGAATTGAAATAAAATTGATTGAATTTTTAAAAATATATTTTCATGATCACAACATTTTAAATATGTAGGCTAAATTCTGTTGATATTTTTTTTAATCTACCAAAGGAATTCAAAATAAAAAAAGTTTTCGACACATCAGTGTGACTGTTAGCACTGCAGTCTCTGCTGATTATCAACAATTTCTCGTCTAATGCCTCCATAACCTGATTTCGTGTGTGTCCATTGTGTGTGCCGAGGTGAATGTGGAATGTCACAAGTCCCAGGTAGGGTTCCCCTAAACAAAGTTCTGGCACACAGATACCTGCCAGCACTGTTTGTACGCCTGCTCACAGAGGGCCAGAGGCGGCCATGTTGACATGGATTCGGAGGGTGGACTTCTATTGGACTCAATTTGGGCCTTGGAATTCGACAAAGACGGAAGAAACACTTGTTTATTTATGGATATGAATTTCTTTTGTTTCCATGGTAATGCCAGTGATGGTTGTATGGAATTGGTTGTCACTAAAAGGCAGATCTGGAAACTGGTTTGAAATGTTTAAATTGGATCCATTTGGTTTATGTTGAAATAAAAAATGTTTATGTGAAATAAACAAACTGGATGAAGCAGCCTTCCTACTTCCCGACTAGCTTGTTCATGGACAGAACCATTTCTGCGTCATCTTTCCTGTTTCACTCTCTCTAACTTCCTGGGCTCATGTCTGGTCTAAATAGATGTTGCTAAATACATCTCTTTATGAGCTGGACCACCAACTTTTGAAAGTTTATGAATGAATTATAGGCCAATTTCCAATTTGCTGACTTTCACTAAAGTTAGCTGTGTGCTGTGGCAAGGGTTATCACGCCATTGATAAAATTTGGCTCAATCTGTAAGAATATCAAGTCGTAACTTCAAATGACTCCGGACATGAAACCTCTCTTATCTCTAAACTCGCTTGCGCTGTTTGTTAGCCAGGATTCCAGGTGTGTTTTTTAGGCTTATATCATCCTAATTTAGAAAATGAGCTACCAAATGAAATCCTGCCATGTCGTTTGACTGCGGTATATACATCGTTACTAATAGTGATATATTGACTCGTATCGCAGTGGTAAGGAGCAGGCAGTAGGCAATGATAATTATAAAACCATGTCTATGCAGCAAAGGAGGAAGTGCCATTTTATTTAATTGGCAGAAGCCTACAATTGAGACATGAAATGTGAGTCTTATTTTTTGGCAGTATAAGAAATAATTGAACTTTCTATAAAGAGAATCTTTATGGAAGATACACTGAAGATAAATAGATACGGAGAAGCTAATCCAAACAACATGATCAAGTCCAATGAAGTGAATCATTCATAAGTCAATTCAACAGTTATATTAAACACTGTGTGTTGGATAAACTTGTTATTGCATGCAAATTGCAGATGAATGTTATAAGAATGAGGAACTGCTGAGGAATTTAGAGCTGTCTGTGACTTAATGGAGTGTTGTATCCCATGTGTAGTGCTGTGTATTTATACTGATCTAGAAACTAGTTCAACAATAGTAATGGTGTTGTGAATAATCCAGATATCAGGAACTGATTTTGTAGTTTGCAAATGTAGACTATTAATTGTACAAAATGATATCAATCACTGGATCATATGGTCCAGACTTGATTTTTTACTGCCTTCTTATGGCTGGAATATTGCTCGATGCTGCGTTAAACAACAACCAACAAAATAATTGTACAACAGTAGTGATGCTTTCAATCATTGGAAATAATAAACAAAGTTTGATAAGACCAAGATACGTGCAGATTGACATATGAATTACATCAGTCATGACCCGCCATAATACTTGCCTGGTACATTGTGTCGAAAATCTTGTTCTGTTTAAAGTGTCAGTGTGGGTTATCTCCCCTCGTTGAAATCATAACTTGATAGCTTATCTTTACAGCGACAGAGTTGTCCGTTTGATAGCAGAGTTGTCAGTTAACTGATAAATATGACATGATAGTCAGATAAGAAGCCCCCACAGATGGTACCCTACATGCACTATTGCGTGTAATGAAAAATAATCCAAACCTTCTTAACAGCTTTTGCCAATTAAATCACTGGTAAATTTACAAAGATTACCTTGTTTTAATATATATATTTACATTTTCCGCATGAAAGTGTATTTTTAACCTTGAAGGTCAATTGCACTTGTAAGCCATGGTTTATATTTTATTTATATATATTTTCAGTGAGACCGTACTTTAGGAAGCTGCCCGAGACTGTCTTACAACACATCATTGGTGAAACCATCAAGCTACGGTGTCGAGTTCGGGGCCATCCCAAACCTTTCCTGACATGGTACAAGGGTGACAAGCTCATTGACCATACCAGCAACGAGAGGTAGGTGTATGACTGACATCTTGTAGGTGTACTTATTGCATGTGTAATGCAATTATTCACCATGTTCACCATAAGTCGATTCTTTCAATGTTTTTATGATATTTTGTTACATTGGATTTGTTATGTACGGTATTTCTTTTGTGGTCAGTGCTAGAAGTGTTACATACATGCACCCATGTGGGTATTGTGGGTTTGGATTGGTTAAGGGCGGTGGGGTAGCCTAGTGGTGAAAGCGTTCTTGTCACACTGAAGACTCGGGTTTGATTCCCCACATGAGCACAATGTGTGAAGCCCATTTCCGGTGTCCCCACCATGATATTGCTTGAATATTGCTAAAAGTGAAGTAAACCCAGGGTCACTAACTCACCTGGATTGGTGGTTGTAACGAGGCGACAACTAACAACCACAAAAGCCATCTCAAATGGGAATCTAGATAACACATTGTCTTTGAAATCTATTACTACATCTTACATTTCTCTTCTGTAAAATCAAAACAAATAATTTTCCTGATGCTGATTTGAAAGAGCCGTCTTGAGCTGGCTAGACTTGCTTTTGTATATATATCTAGAATCGCTTTATTTTCATATAATAAATATGTACCACAGTCATGGTGCATGGGGTCAGGTGGTCAGCCTGCGTGACATGGCTGATGCTAGCTCCCTGATGGCAAGAATTGTTGCACTTGCTTGTCACGAGTTTGCCTGATCGAGATTAAATTCTTCACTTGGGTATTGTATCGGAAACACTGGTACTTGTATGTGTGGGCTTAAAGAATCTCTTCAGTAATTGTTTGTCAACACTTGCAGGGTTACGGTGAATCGCTATGCGTTGGTCATTGAAGACGTGCAACAGGAGGACGAGGGGAAGTACGCATGTCACGGACAGAACCAGCATGGCGAGGTCTGGGGGAATTTCACCCTCAAAGTTCGAAGTAAGTATTTTGACAAGGAAAATATTATTTCATGAAAGGTGGCTACATGTCCACAGATCACTCCACCAATCGCAACTAACTGTATCGTGGCAAGAATAGAAAGAACTGACATTTCGTAAAGGCAAACTTATGTTTAACTTTTCTTGTTTTGAAGGCATATCCTATTGGGTTCTTGTTTTTGTTTTTGGCGTGTAATAATGCATCTGATGTTTTGTGATAGAATTATCTGGATGGCCAATGAAATGCTTTTCATTCAATGTCAAGTAATTTTGGATGTACAATTTTGATGTTTACATATTTTATGATTGCTCACAATTTTTGTCTCTTTTGCAGATACAACAAATTTTGATGACTACGGAGACGATTATGACAGTGATTACGTTAATGAACCACAAATTCCTGGTGAGTACTTTTTGTTTGTCATTTGTACATAGTTACAAGAGTTATTTCATGACTTATACAAATATATTAATTTTTACTGTTGATATTCTGAAGTTTGTGGTCATTCACAGACCATGTGCGAAGGTTCCTAATTAGCCGTAGTGATGAAAAGAGAGGCATATTGTAAGTAGTCTGTAGGAAGATAGCATGTAACAGGATATATGATAGGTGAATGAGAGAGCTTCCAGCTTATCACATGGCTCGGTAGGCCCAGGGGAGGGAGCACTGATAAGGGTTTCCACTCGATTGGGGCCCAATTTGGTGGAAGAGGAAGAGAGAGCGAGCTTATCAAAGTCTGGTCCAGCTGAATTCCCATAGTGACAACAGTTATACACAGTTACCTCCCCTTGAACTAAATCCACCCGATTAAAATTCTTCTTGGGTCTGTTCGTACATTTTCTGATTTATTTTTGTTTAGAATGATATCGCTGTTTTTTGAAAGGATGAAAATATGTAATATTGTTATGGCGAGATGTATGAATTATATTATCAGCATTTTTTTACTGGAGGTAATGAAAGGCCAGATATGGTGTAGAGTGAAAAGATCATGAAACACATGGTTCCAATGAATTGATTTAGAAAGTTAATCTCTAATAGGACAGATGACTTAATTCTGGGCAATGGAAATGATTTAGTGGGGATGGCTACGGACAGATGTGAAAACCATGGCAGGGAATTCTGGGAAAGGACAGTAAATGACTACTCTCTTTCTGCCTTGGAAAACCGTTACAACTTGTGTGCTCAGAAGTTAAGGAGGGCTATTTAACAGTTTTCTGGCACACTGATGGGCCATGGAAGGGGAAAGCACAGCTTCTGTACAACTCTCGACCCTTTGATGCTGGATACGAGAAATGAAACGCGATTGATCAGCAAGTTTAGCTTTGGAGTCCTTCTGCCTGTAGTAGCAGACGGCATTTCCTTTCATGATGGTTGTGTAACAGTTGCCACCAAGCATCAACTTGCTGAAAGAAGTCTTTGTTCGTTTCCAAACATTACCTGAAATTATTTGTGCAAGTGCACATCTCTCGTCAGTCATGGAGGAAAGCCTGTCAGTACTTCCTGTTTCAACAATTGCTTTTGATTTTTTGCGTTTTATTGTTTACAAATTTGCATTTGCAGGGGGAACATTTTTGAGATTTTTACAGTAGAAACTGTCAGTGAAATTGAGGGCGAAACATGTTAATGGTTTAAAATGGTTGCTGATGGATGGATATTAAAAGCATATGGAACACCATGCAACCTGTGGAATAGCCTATTTATAAACTTCTCCTAACAAAAATCACTATCCAATCAAATCCCATCGGAAAAGTAAGAAATGGGCAGGACCATCAAAAAGTAGAAACTCTGGGCTGAGCAGCTAATTTGAAGGCAGCTGCTTTTAATTTAGTCCCCATCGGTAGAAATGTAGGGTCTGACGCATAATGAAGAGGGAAGGCGAGTTAGTACAAGGGGCAGGAAGCACCGCGGACTGCTGGAGCCAGATTAAGATGGCCACCACCACGGGTCGCAAAAAATAGGCAATTGAGACTGCATTTAACATAAATAAATATTGTTAGTGAAGGATAAGAAGTATTTGGTAGGAGATTTGGAATTGTGAAACTTCTGTCAATAAATGTTAAGAATTTGTTTGAACTTATTGGGGTAAAATGGGACAGTGTGGAGTTTGAGCCACTCCCGATTTTGAAAGATCAAGAAATATTTTCACTTATTTTTGAAAATGTTCTAATGTAAAAAAATGAATGTGTATTTCTTTTGTAGGAAAACCAACATGGGCGAGGAAGAAGGAAGACATGAAAGACATCGCGAAGCCAGCCAACTCCTACGTGGACTTTAAGTGCCCTGCAGTTGGAAAGCCCAAGCCTGACATCAAATGGCTCTTTGATGGTAAACCCTTCAAGCGAAACACGTCTGGCCAGGTAAGCAATATACCAATATACATATTATGATTTAATATTGATGAAAAATTGCAATTAGTAAAGACATCGCAATACAAAAATTGTAAAAGAAACAAACAAAGCATTTCAAAATATGTTTCTTCTTGTTCTTCCAGATGTCCATGAAGGGGTACAAGCTGACTCTTGGCGATCTGGTTCCTCTTGACAGTGGGAGGTACACATGCATCGTCAGCAACACCCACGGCGCCATCAACTGGACATATACGTTACAAGTTGTCCGTAAGTACCAATACCACAATTAACACTGTCAAGGCACCAAAATATTTTTATGATTTGAAAATACGCTAGAATTACATTTACTTTATGAATTTTTCATGTTTGTTTCAGAGCGTCTTCCGCATGCTCCTATTATTAAGGGTCCTAAGAATCAGACTGTAGTGGTCGGAGAAACAGCCGTTTTCAACTGCAGGATTTTGCTTAGTGACCTTCACCCTCACATACAGTGGCTACGACATTACACTGTCAATGGCTCGTATACAACGCCCGAAGGAGACCCTTACGTCAATGTACTACAGGTATGAGCACTTATTGAACATATAGCAAAAAATAAAAGTTATAGTTTTATTATTTCAAACATTTTACTCTATATTGTTTTCAGTTTCGTCTGTAGTTTAGTAGAGTTATACAGAAGTAAAAATCTCGATGTTGTGCAGGAAGATGTAGAAACAGAAGTGAAATAATTTTGTGGTGAGAGTGAATATTTATTTTTATTCACACCTACCTAGATTCAGCATAGGTTGTGTCAACAAGACTGTTGTTATCAAATTTGACATTAAGACGACCCTGTTTTAATTCCCTCTCTATTTTTGCCCTCTTCAGACTCAGGTAAGACTGCAATGTTGGCCAATTGAGTTTTGATGTTGTGGCATTTGTGCCAGTACCAACGTTGTAGTGGGCCGTTGGCGCTGTTGGAATGATCCTATAGAATGTTGATGAGATGAATGACTGATGACCTTATACAGAAATATGACTGGCTCAAATGGGAGCAGTGAAGACGCCATCTTGTCGTCATGTGATATGTAGTGTACATTTTCCTAACAACTATTTTTAAGAATTTATTAGCATCATTTGAAAAAAAGATATATTCCTCAAAACACAACCCAAACCAAACAAAAATGAATGAATTATTATTTTTGATACTTATTTATTTAATCTGTTCAAATATCCTCATTTGGGGAAAATATATAAAAAAATACATTAATTTCTTATTACAACAAACAAGTTATTTTCGAGAGACTAAATTACATTAACGTAAAAAAATGATGACAAGATGGCGCAGCATGTGATGAATGAACACGGTCTCTCTTACAGCCTGGCCTAGAACATGACAACGTGCTAGAGCAGTCTAGTTGTCTAACGTCCGTCTTTGTCCATCTAGTTCGTCTGTCTAGCATATTTAGTACAACATTGTATGGTCTCCGCGACCACATCAGCACATTCACTAGTTGCACTATTAACATCATCTTGCACTTTCAGGAATCCAGCCCTCGGAATGTTGCACATAGTTACTGTTCTATCAAGGGAGAGCCAATGTTTTCATTAGTCTACTTATTTGAATAGTGCTTATATATTTCTGTAATTATGATGTATAACAATACTTCTTTCATATTTCTTTAAATAAATGTTTATAAGCTATACATTATTGCACATATATTTCTTTAATTAAATCTTTATAAATTATGCAATACTTCTATATATGTTAAAAGCTATACAATACTAGTTTATACTTCTCAAATTAAATGTTTCTAATTATACATTACTGCTTCTATTATTAGTGGGTTAGGGCACTATATCTATTTGCCTAATTTGCCATGACTTTTCAAATGAAAATTAATGTTGTTTCATGATTCTTAAAATCGTGGTTGATAACCAGAAAGTTACGAGAAAGTCTGAAGTCAAATTGGCAAAATTGCAGCCATATTATCCACATTGATAAGAAAGTTAGGGAAAGTTAGACTGTATAAGTCAGGGCTCCTTGATAGAAATCTTGAAAACGACCATTTTAATCCCATTTGAATTGCAGCATCAATAGCATGAAGGTACGCAAGCCTTTGGGTACCACCTGTGTTCTAACCACAATGTCCGACATTTAGACGATGTTAACCGCTTGTCCCGTGTCCGTCTCCCATCTGCATGTGTAGACACGTGGTCTCCGCACACAGATTGTTGCACACATGCACTGCTAACAATAAAAAGTATTATTGATTCTTTTAATGAGAACTTTGCAGAGTGACTCGATGAGTAGGATGGCATCGTTTGCTACGCAACATTTTGCTAAAGGTGTCTCAGACCAGTTGGATATAATTATGACAAGGAATATTACGGAACACTTCTTTGTTGCACATAAATCTTCAGGACCACTTCGGTCCTGACGAAGTTGTTCATTATATTTCTTGTTATAACATTTTGTAAACCACAGTTAAAGTGAGACTCTGCTATAGCTAAAAATTAAAATTCTGCCTACTCAGCAGAGAATCTTGAACCACAAATAAATATTTGTCATATCTGTTTTAACCCTGTTATCGAGCTTAATTTCATTTGGTGGCGGTCATATACTCACACAATCCTTTCCTGTGAACATGGTAAGAAATTCATTGTCTAAACAAGTATTTTTTTTTTTTTACAGATGTCAAATGTGAACACATCGGAGCCGGAGCAATTGGTTCTACACAACGTGAACAAGGAGACCGCTGGATGGTACACTTGTGTTGTACAGAATAGCATCGGAATTGAATATGGCTCAGCATGGCTGAAGGTTGTAGATGGTGGGTATAACGAAGAAATGCTGATTATTATTTTTATATATTTTTGTGTGTTGTCCATTTATCCATTATCAAAATTCCATTCACCTCGTGAATGCTCATGGTGCTAGAAACCATTATTACCCCGGTCAGTGGATCAGCGTGTGCTCGATTGTCATTCTCAACTCCCTGGGGAGGATACAGACTAAAACTGAAGCATGTTTCCTCCTAGTCCTCCGTGGTCTTGTGGTAGAGCGTCCGCCCGGAGAGCGGAAGGTCCGGGGTTCGATCCCCGACCGCGTCATACCAAAAGACGTTAAAAGATGGTACTTGTTGTTACCCTGTCTGGCGCTCGGCATTAAGGGGCTAAAACAAGGACTGGTCGGCTTGGAGTCAGTATACTGTGTCTGAGTGGGGTATTCATGTTAAACTGCGGCATGGTATCTCAGTGAGCTAGCACTATAAATTGGCATCAGTCCGGACTAGTACAAGCAGCCACACAAACACACACACACGTACATGCACGTCGCTATATAAGTGCAATAATCTTAGACGCGACGTTAAACCCCATTTCACCTCACCTAACCTGTTTCCTCCTCTTAGGAAGGCTTGTCATAAGAGACAACTATATGAATCCGATAGGCAGAATCTGGCTCATTGGATGTCGTCAAGGTGTTTTACGTTATAACATAACACAGATTTCTCAGGTAGCATACGCCTATTGACTTAACATTCTCTCACTCACTCACTTACCATAATCCAAGAATGAATGGTCACTGGGCATGTGATTCAGCAGATTCTGCCGTTCCAATCAGTGTTTACTATTTTTGATATGTAGTTCATGTCTAGCTTGAGATGAATTTAGAGAGATACGCTTCATCATGAATTAATGATTTGTGTTGTAGAATACCCAGTGAGCGAATCCTCGGTGGGCCAAGACGTGGAACAACCGCTGACCGTCTCGATGATAGCTGGGGGATCTGCCATCCTCATTGTCGTCGTCATTATCAGCATCGTCATTGTCTTCCTCTGGTTCCGTCATAAGCGGCGTCTTAGTATGCCGTACAAGAAGAGGGTTATCATCATGAGACAGGTATGCATGCTGAAATGACAAATCATAACCACCATGTGGATGGTGACGTGTTCTGTCACAATGTCATCAATTTCATCCATAGTAATATGAATGCATTCGTTGGTCCTTAACTTCTTTTGAGAAGTATATTACAGCAAAAATTACCATTGGGTATGAAAGATGAATCTAGACTTAGGGTTAAATGGCCATCGGCAGATGTAGAGGGGTCGTACAGGGGATCCAGTGAGGAATTTTGATATTTTGGACCCCTCCCTTTCAAAAATGCTGGATCCGCCATTGATAGATATTGGTTTTCAGTTAATATAGATGGACGGCTTCTTGTTAAGAACTTTGTTTTGTTGTTTAAATTTTCCTCAAAGTAACAGGTCATGTGATTATCTTGCAGAACGACCTGTACTACCCCAACAGCAAGGACCCATATGCAACGGTGCCACTGATGGTGCCCCAAGTTCGCATCGAGAACAGCAACTTCATGAGGCGTCGGCTATCATCAGAATTCACGGAAGTGTCCGAGTATGATATTCCTCTAGACAAGACGTGGGAGTTTCCAAGAGAAAGGTAACCAACGCAATCAGAATTACACTGAGGAAAAAAAGAATTGAAATGTTTATGATTTAATGACAATTTCCAAATATTTATATAATGTTTATTGACTCAAATTTAGGCTTTGTAAATTTATGTGGTAATATTGTCTTATTGTGTGGTAGATTTATCTTGCCTTCGTAGATTCAACAGTGTCTGTTGTTTTCAGACTCGTCTGTGGGGAAAGACTTGGAGAAGGAGCCTTTGGTTTGGTTGTCAAGGGCGTGGCCCTTGGTATTCAGGGAATGCCAGGAAACACTACTGTTGCTGTCAAAATGTTAAAGGGTAAATTTGAACTTTAACTTTAATAGTTTGGAGCTCTATTAATCTTACTTCTTAGAACACATCTTGTCGTTCAGCATTATAGGGGAATAACACACTATTAGTTCAGCAATACAGACGTCACATTATACACTTGGTTCATTATTGAGTTTATTCTCTTTCTTGACAGTCCTATTTATAACATGACTGGAATATATGTACTTTATGAAGCAAGAACCCGTCTATTATAATAAAGCCAGTCTATCCAGCTCTCAATCAGCATCAGGAAATATTTTTTTCTTAGAGGAAAGAAGTACCATGTCAGGTGGTATGGCAATGATATTGCAAGCCTGGCGATACACAGTATCTTACTAATGGTATTTTCCCCTCCACCAGAGGATGCCACCGATCGCGAGATGACGGATCTGATGCAGGAGATGGAGGTGATGAAGTTCATCGGAAGTCACAAGAACATCATCAACCTCCTTGGCTGCTGTACACAGAGAGGTATGTGGACAGACAACGTGGCCATATTTGCTGCAGAATGGTCTCTGTCTAAACCCTACATTCACAGGACGCACACTAAGATGCAACTTTGCTGCAAAACGGAATCTGTCTGAACCCTTCATTCACAGAACGCACACTAAGATGCAACATTAGATTTGTTTGTTGTTTAATGCCGCAATAAGCAATATTCAGTGATACGATGGCAGCTTGTCTGAACCAGTCAATCCAGTGATCAATATAGTGTGCAATGATCCTCACCTATGACCAGCATAGGTTGCTGGGGACCTATTCTAACCCGGAATCCCCACGAGGCCACATCATAAGAAACTTGTATGATATCGCTAAATATTATGTCAGAAAATTGTATGTCCAATCTCACTTTGCAGGTCCCCTCTACGTCATTGTGGAATATGCGCCAAACGGAAACCTCCGAGACTTCCTGAAGAAACACCGTCCTCCAAACTCTGGTTATCCATGCACTTCAGGATATGAGCGGCCAATCATCACTGACGAGCTGAGCGACTATAAACCACTCACGCAAAAAGATTTGATATCATACGCATACCAGGTTGCAAGAGGCATGGAATATCTTGCTACTAAACATGTAAGTCCTGCGAACAAAAAAGCAAACTAGGATCTTGTTGTTGTATCAGCTATTATTGGCAATATCCTTGTTGTAAATGTGAAGTAATAGTCAAGTAATGGAGAAGTCTTTAAAATCAGTTGATTCTACTTCTACAAATTCAAGTGATTTCGATGGTTGGCCAGAAACCTATGATTGTGAGTTCGAATCCTGGTTCGCCCTTATTATGTTTCTAGGTTTGTCAGCACCATACCTGTGCTCATGGGTTTCACCGAAGTGGTAAACTCACCTGTAGTTGCATCAGTTTTACTTGTTTAGATGGACATTCAGAATGGCTATTGACAAAACTCATCAACTGCAACAACTATTTTATGACGAATATGATGTATTTAATATTCCGGTGTCTCCTATCATGATATTGCCAGAATGTTGCTAAATTTGTGTAAATCTGTATGTTTATTTTTGTGTGACCTTGGATTTGTTTTGTTTTTTCAGTGTATTCATCGAGATTTGGCTGCGCGGAATGTGCTTGTAACAGATGACTATGTTTTGAAAATTGCCGACTTTGGCCTCACAAGAAACTTGCGTCATGTAGATTACTACAGAAAAACAACAGATGTAAGTGGTCAATCAACTGTTAATTCACTCAGTTCTTTCGCTGTACTTTGTATGAACCCTGTGTACAATAATTAACAATAACCATTATCTATAAAACATCTTCATTTCTTCAATAAAATGGCAGTTAGCACTCATTCAAGTTGAAATATCTTGAATTGGTTGGAACTATTCGTAAGGGTAACAAGTCTTGTTTATGATTGTCAAATTTAAGTTTCAAATTTACAAATGAATAACAAACAATAACTGTTGTATTTTGCAGGGTCGGTTACCGGTCAAATGGATGGCACCAGAAGCACTCTTTGACCGAAAATACACCTCAAAAAGTGACGTGTAAGTATTTACAAATCTTGCAAAGAATTAATTCAAGAACCTAATTCAAGAAAGAATTCAATCAATTCCACATGATGCTACATTGTTCAGAGACATACAATATTGCTGCCGCTTCATCAGCTCCTGGTTCATAGCCAGTGATTGGCCTGTTACTTCGGCACATGGTCATAGGTGTTGTATATATTCTATATACTCCTGTTTCAGTTGGTCGTATGGTGTTCTGTTATGGGAGATATTCACACTGGGAGGCAACCCATATCCCTCCGTACCAGTTGAGAAGCTGTTCGAGCTCTTGCGAGAGGGACATCGGATGGAGAAGCCTCCATATGCATCAAATGAAATGTAGGTCATTTTCTTCTTCATCTGAAGACTATAAGGCTAAAAGAAAATATATAATAGTCTTGGTTCTCAGGCACAGCCGCATCATCATAAAGTTCACCACACATTTCAGGGGATTTTACCATTTTTTTTAGAAAAACCATGAAAATCCTTAAATATTCCAGGTCCAACAGTAGTCAAATACTGTATTCTAGTATTTTACTGATCTAGGAATACATTTATGTAGGGAGGCCCTTTACCAGGTTAATTGTACAAAATTGATTATTTGGTTACGCAACTGTTAATTTGGTGACATACAAGTTTGAACAACAAAAAAACAAGACACTGCCCGCCTGCACTATATTTTCAAAAAACATTGCCTGAGAACCAATTTCTTTAGGGCCAAAAAAGTTTATTTTATATAAACTTTTGGGGGGCTTTCAGTGCAAATAGAAAACACTTTCACAGAAATTAAATAACAGAAATTCAAATGAGAAAAAGAGTTCCTGTGAATAAGGAACAGTGTGCTGATTAATTATGGGTTTTTTTTTGGAATTATTTCCTGGGTTCATATTGGGTGGGTATTGTATTGTATCAATATTAATTGAGACTATATATAAATATATCTTTTGTGTTGCAGGTACGGTATAATGCACAAGTGTTGGCAGGAGAATCCCACGTTGAGACCTTCCTTCCAACAGCTTGTGATGGAGCTCGACAAGATCCTCACATCCTCGCTAAATGAAGAGGTACGTACAAAGCTAAAGAATTATACCTTCTTGATTACGTCATTGTATCTTTGCAAACTATAATTATTTGCCTACATTACCATATATATAAATTGCTGGGATCTGATTGGCAAACCGAGCAATGATTTTGCCTCCATAAACCAAAAAAATGGGGCAGGGAGGTTTTTTACCTAGACACAAAACATGATGAAGACACGTTTTATATACACATAAAGATGTTTTTCTAATGTTGATAATGCAGTCAATTCCAATGACTGTACAAAAACTGAGACTAAAATATATTTTATATATTTTTAGGCATACTTGGACCTGGAGCCCGTAGATGCACCAATGAGCACGTCGGATAGTCAGTACTCGTCAATGTCCCACAGTAGTACAAGCAGTGGCGAGAGCAATATCATCGAGTAGCCATGTGACTGGTCACGTGATTGTGTGACCTTCCCCAGCAAGGGCAGCAGCTGAGAGGTGCCACGCTACTACTTGTGTGGAATCGGCCAAATTTTGTAACACTGCGGACTTGGGCTGTGTTCTTTGTAAATATACCACACACAGTGTAGGGCAACTATTAGCAACATGCTAATAGATACTACCGCTTGTCAATCCGGCCAAAGGGAGAAGAATTTGAGAGTGCTAGTTACTATGTATCCAATCCTGGGAGTTTCTGTGAACAAGACTGAAACTGAGAACTTCACAGGATTGTGAAAATTTATATACCTCACCATGAAAGAATGAGGACCCCACAATCTTCAGTTGGAACTTGGGCACTTTGTGTTGTGTTCTGGCAGTTTGTGAACAGGGGTTGTTCGTGAACAAGACTATATTCCTTTCAGATTCTTGCTGGAACGTCTCACTGTGTGACTGAGGGGTGACAGGATGTAAAGAGTACCCCACGAAGAAATGAGTCTGCCCTGAGCTCAGTCATTTACAAAGCTGTTGTGTATATACTTTAGACTGCTCAAGGATATATATTGTTGAGTTGAATTTTATGAGAAAATTTATGTTATTATATTGAGTCCAGAGTTAGAGAATGTATATTTTTTAAGTAGACGCAACTCATTGGACTGTAATATTGTAATATTGTCTGTCGCGAGCTTCCAAAACGTGTGCCAATGAAGTGAAGGAAGGTGGATTGTCTCCCCTTAGTCCAAACATTAATACTTAATTGCCAGTTTAATATATAAGTATTAATAGCCACCGTAAAAATATGCTAATTAAGGGCAGACAATCCAAATGCCTCATGAATATATGCATTTAAGAAATTAGGGTCAGCAATGGGTCATTGGGTTGAAGGTCATAAGATGAATCGTAGGGTTTTAATAGGAACTTAATACTAATCTTGACTGTCAGAGCAATGGCAGAATTTAATATCAGTAAGTTTAATTATAATAAATGTCCACAACAAGAAACTTGAATCTCTTGCCAACCTGCATTTATCTGGACACTGTCAAGCAGCTGTATTATATGTTGCCCGTCAATGTGCATTTAATCAAACTGCAATTTACATGCATTTTTGTTAGTATCACTGCCAGTGAATTGTTATTGTTTTATGTAAGCATCGGTTGAATGAAATTTATTTTGTTAACGTAACCATGGTAACGTTTAGTCAAAGTTCATGCTAGATTCTAGGTTTCATTTTCATCTCTTTAACATCAAATGAAGCTAAATATATTAACCGGCATATCATGACAATAGGTATCGAGTTGTTTTTGTTTTTCTATAGTGCTTATGGTTCCACAAATGTGTTCAGTTGTCATAGTAACAGGTTACCTAGGCAACACAGTAATGGTGCATTATGGGGGTAAATATCATCAGCTTCAGTTTCATTGCCTAAATTATTTAGTCAACATTCATTTTGACTCTCTGTTAGTTGTGTCATTTCCAAGTCTTCCACATGTTTTGTTTTGTGAATGAACCGATATATATTTGGCAGACAATTGCTCTTTTCATGTCACCGATATATAATGGCATATCAGACAATCATTGGTCGAATTCGAGCCACTTTTTTCATCTCAATACATGAAATTGTGTCACTTTTCTAGATGAAATAAACAATTGGACAAATTTGATTTCAAATTGCGATTTTTTAATTTAACGGTCATAAAAACTGAGCATTTTGAAATGTTTGGATGGTATTATAGAGCTGTGAAAACTTCATGTATTTTGAGGTATTACTATATGCAAAATCTCTGTCTCAATGTCTTCCTAAAGCTAGTACTCTCCCATAAGACATGTATTCTAAGCTCAGAAGATGACTCCAAGCCAAGATGAGTAAGGGTGGTGTATATTAGGATGAAGAGTGGACTAACCGCACATGCTTGATGTGCACTGCGAAAGCTGGACATGCTTCAAGTTCGTGTGCTGTTTCCCTTCAACTTGTTGCAGCTTCAACTCTACATTAATGCTTTGTATGGGTGTGAATATTTCGTGACCTAAATGGAGGACTTTTCATGGTGTGAATATTTAACTCAGCAAGTGTGCATTTACTTGCAATCCAGTTGAATTACAGAGAAGAGGTGAATTGTTAATATATACTAGATGTGGAATAAAAGGGGCATGACGCCAGAAGAGTCTTGGACCAGATGAACATGGGACATGTACCTGAAATTTCGTACAGGGGAACTTATTCATGACTTGTGTGTTATGAAGATATTCACCACCAATACCAGTTAGCATTTTACATTATATTCACCAGTTCTTGCATTAGAAGTGCAGAATACTACTTTCTGCAAGATATCTTGTAGATGGTTCCTCAGGAAATTGTCACACTGGTTTTTTAAGTATGAGCTTAAGGCTTATATCGTGCAGTTTTATATTTTATTATTGCATTTTGTGAAATTTCTCCAACAACTTTTGCTAAAAGTGGCAACCACCAGACGAATCACATTTTTTTATTTGTGCAAGTTTTTGTTGTGCAATTATTTTAATTAATTAAGCAAAAGTTATTGGAGAATTCCTGGTCACAGTCGCTTATTGTTTTAGTACTGGCAAGTATCGCCTGTTCGCAATTATTTCAGACAGATTCATTTTTAAAATGGCATAATTTAGCCAGTGAATTTTATTTTTTATTTTAGCTGAATTTCTAGAATTTTTAGCAATTCAGACTGAAATAGGTATTTAATGTTTGAAAATAAGTCTTTTAAGTTCTTTTATGAGTTTTAGGTGTCAAAATTGTTAAGGTTTCAAAGTTCAAATTGCACTTGTTCAAGTTGTGAATTTTGTGTTCATGAATCATTAAATGTATCATCATCCAACCACCATGAATTAAGTATCTGAAAGTATTGCTATCTCAGTATTCAATCATGAAGTCATTTGGGAGTTTTCAAAATGTCAACATTCAGATCAGTACTTGAAACATATAATTGGTTTTAGAATTTGATGTAAATATTTGGGTCTACTAATTTGTTTATATATTATGTAAATTAATTTGATTCTGAATGCATGTAACAGAGTGTTAATTGTAAATTAATTGTAAATTAATCTCTCTAAAACAAGCTAAAGCAATTGACAGCATCCTATCATCACACTGTTGGTCTAATGTAATATATTTGTACAATTGTTGTAAATTAGAAAAATAAAACTCAATCTGTAGATTACTTTGGTCTTGTGTCATCCAATGGAGTTGCGGATAGCCCAGTGGTTTGTGTGGTTGCCCTAGCCTTCATAGGATCCAGTTTGATCCCAACACTAAATCCCCATCATGATGTACCTCTGGTTGGGTAGCCTAGTGGTTGGAGCATTTCATAGTCACACGGAAGACCAGTGTTTATTCCTCATATGGGTACAATGTGAGAAGCCCATTTCTGGTGTCCCTGCCATGATATTGCTGGAATATTGCTAAAAGCAGCGTAAAATTCACTCTCTTATAGCCTCTGGGGATATCAACGTTCCATCCCACTTGAATGTCCAAGAAAGATGGTTGGGACACATGAAATCAGAGGCCATGAATTACATTTAACAAGAGGAACAGTTTTTCAGTTACATCATAGACCTTTTCCACTTGTGAAACCTTTAAGCATGGGCATGGTGTTCTAATAGGGGCAAAACTGGGATTTTGACAGTGAATATTGCGGCAACTGGGATGTGGTCCCTGAACAGTTTATATCAATAGCGAGACAACATCGATTCCTGGAATTCTGGCATTGCAACTCATGGGAACACCAGAAAAGATCATTCCCACCACAAGCAATTACTCGTTTATCCACCATGTAGGGTTTTCCGGGTTAAAAACGCCCCAGTAGGAAGGAATTGGGTGGTTTCAATGTGTAAACTTGCTGATTGTGTACCATGATACCCCAACTGTATGGGCGGCTGTATGTTTTCAGCCTTGGCCTAAAGTCTGTGATATATTATATAGCTGGAATATTGCCTGGTCTTCCTGATATATAGTTGGAATATTGCCCGGCCAACCGTGATATGTAGCTGGAATATTGCCCGGCCCACCGTGATATGTAGCTTGAATATTGCTTGCCTTCTGTGATATATAACTGGAATATTGTGCGGCCCACCGTGATAATGAAGCTGGAATATTGCCCGGCCCACCGTGATATGAAGCTGGAATATTGCCCGGCCCACCGTGATATGTAGCTTGAATATTGCCTGGCCTTCCGGGATATATAGCTGGAATATTGCCTGGCCCTCCGTTATACAAAGCTGGAATATTGCTTTGCCCTCCGTGATATATATATGTAATAGTGCCTGTCCCTCCGTGATATGTAGCTGGAATATTGCTGACTGTGGACTACAACAACCACTCGTTCAGACGCCGGCTTTCCAGTTTATCCTCGCCACTTACCAAAATGATGTTTGAAATCCATCATCAATGTTACAGCCTTTCATCACCATCCTCAATGTTCTCTCAATGAGACTGGGGATTTACAAAGAGACCAAACGCCGTTCTGGTATCGTGAGGCTGGTATTTAATGAGCAGACGACCGTCCGCCGATTACCTTCAGCCAACACGGCAATCAACCTATCAGATTGTTTGTTTATTCTCAAATAACCGAAACAATAATATTTGGTCAGTACATCACCCGCCGAAAGACGCGTAAAGAGCTGGGGCAATAATTCACCGACAACTGACTAAAGGTATCGCTGGAATGACGATCACGCACATGCAGGTTGATGGCAGATATATGGCCAGTCACATATTCCAGTCACATGGAATGGTGGGTTTATATACCGCATCGGTAGAGCAATACCAGCTAGACATGGACTGGGTTGCGTATCGCTGTCTTCAGCAGAGGGTATAATTTATCGTTCACAGTTGCTTACATGAAAGAATCGGAAGGGGCATTTTTTCATTCTATCTATGTCGAGCCCACTGTCTTTTTTGATGGAAAGAGGAGATAAGCGATGCATTGTTTTTACCCGGCACTTAGTGAATACACGTGTTATATCAGATCAAGATACGGGCAGAAAAATACATGTGCCCTGTAATGTAGAGCACGTGTGTGCAGCGGCACACTATCAGTGGAAGAGATAAGTTTATTCGTTCAAATGGTGATACAAGCATAGGTATATAAATAAACCAAACGGAAATCCAAGATGGCGGCATTTGGGCCACGATGGCCGTTTACTATCCTTCCAAATCTCTCAATTGCAATAATATAAGTAACACTAAAATCGTTAATGTTCTTCACCCCATTGTATACATATGACTGATACACCAGAAGTGCCAGCAGGGTGTCTATAGAAGAATGTTCGATATATATATTGCAGACTGTCTAAAGTTAATTTGTAAGGGCAAATTTGTGAAATACTCAGTCATTTTAAAAGAGGGAAATACATGAACTCTATACTTCTTTAATTAGCTGCAGTAAATTGATTCTACCTTTAAAACGCGTCGAATAGCTTCTATGATGAACATGACGTCACCAATAATACTGTAACGTCAATAAAATTACGTAAAACAATATCTGATTACGTCAACAATGCTACAGAGGGAGTGGATTTATTATTACATGTGTGCTTCGTATGTCATCTTGAACCATAAACATGATATCAAGCTATGCATTCAACAATTAAGTGCAATACTCCCATGTTATACCGTTTCATCCTTCTGTTGAAAGGCAGGGATTATAATGGACCATGTGTGGACATCGTAAACCGGGACGCAGTAAACCATATAGTTTGTGTTTCACAGGTTTTACCAAACAAAGAGAATATTCGCTGGACATGCAGGGTTGGTTGTGATTTTTTTACATATTATTTAGCTCATGTTTTTTTATCGAGACACGTGCGTGTTTTGAAGCAGTTGCCCAAAAGAATATCCCAGCAAGCCCTAGTTTTAAAAATGTTTGCAATTGAATTGAAAATCGTGAACAGCAAAACTAGGTTCCATTCCAAGTGGTTTGGCAAGATATCTTGAGAAAAAATAACATTTTGATGCACAGACAATTTAATAAGGATACATTTACATACATTTACATTTACATACTAGTAATCAGATATAGATATAATATATATATATATACTACTCAAAAGAAGTTAAGGATCACCTGATTCTTTCATATTACTATAGTTCATCTCTCATGTCAAGACAGATTAAATTTACCATGAAAGATCCTTAACTTCTTTTGAGTAGTATATATATATAAAATAATTAAAGATAACTGTAACCCTCGAGTACATTGGTACCGTCAGTTCTCAGGGGAGTGTTAGTCTCACAGTCCCCATACCATATTATTTTCGCTTCCGCCAAGCCATTTCTGTAATGCAAAAGCTCTAAATAAAGCAAGTCTAGATTTTCAACAGGTTCCTATCTCACTGCTCCGGTCAAATTTAATTGGAGTTATTTGTTTCTTTCAAAATTATACATTTTCACAGACTAAGCCCCAGTCAAGGGAAGTAAAGGCTGCTGGAACTGAGAATGGAATGAGGTGAATGTTTCAGTAAATAAGTGCACCGGGTCTGTAGGAATACTAATATTATTTCAAAATTGTGGTTACTGCTACCATAATGAACAACAGAAACGACCGAGAACAGTTTTGAATTAATTCCCCCGTTTCGTTTGATAAACTCGTTGCATAATCCTTCAGTGTAAGGTGTCTTTTTTTCTATTCCATATTTTTTAATTGATTCAATAGTCGGAGATGTCCCAGGAGTATCCTGCCATTACCACGGCTTTCATCTACCACGTTGTAATGAAGAGAATGCCGTCACCGTGAGCCGCCTACGGTCATATTCTTTTCTGTATTATCCACTTGAGAAGAAAGTTCCGACTGTTTCCAACATGACGAAACAGGAAAACACCATGAATTGATGAATAATTATTTACACGACAACATCACCTTGACAGACAAAACTATTTCAACCAATTCAATGATTTAAATGCGAAGTTGTAAACAACCACTTCTAAATTCGTTGATTCTATAATCGTATTGATTCGAAACACGACGCTGGGCCAAGTACGGCGTATCCACCACAAAGCGCCATTCTTATCCGGTGACTACGTCCGGGAAGTGTTAAATCAAGGCAGGTAAAATTCCCCTACTTTCAACACCAATGTTAAGGAAGGCAAATAACCTATTTTCGTTTCTCGCCATTTAAAAGAATATGTAAGACGCCCGTTTTCGTCGTTATTAATAAGACACCGGATTCTACGTTCTTAACGACTTATATAGTATACTTCGAAAAATACCATACAATATTAAGTGTTCTCATGAAATATACTTTATAGGGAGGAATCTATATACTAGTACATGAGGTCAGACACTTTTAGGTTTTAGTTTCACACACACCATGTTTTTTTAATATATATATACATAAAAATAAAACTATGCATTATATGTATTTAACATTGAAGTGTATTCAGCCACGTATGGAGATTTGAAGATGTCAGATGCAATGTTTCATTATGTCAGATGACTATGAATCCACATTCGCTTCACTTCATTTGAAGTTGTTTGGATTATTTCGTAACTTTCTATTGAAAAAAGGAGCTTTATTGGGCAGAGAGAAGGCGCGGAAAGGAGATACCGCATATGCACCCTCACACAATCGTCATGACATTCATGCTGAGATCAGAAACAGGTTAGAGAAGCTTGTGTTGTCCCGGCTACGACCGTGGCCTTGCATTAAATGTACACATCTCCCCCTAAACCTAATCCCCCTCCCCCTCGCTGACCCGGCCGCTGAATAGCTCGGCGATAATCCCTGAACCTTCCTCCCGCCCTTACTTCACGAACAGAAAAGAATAGCTGAAAAGGGCGGGAAAAGAGGGTATCGTCTGCCAATGTTCGTCTGCTCGCTGGCAGCGCATGCTAATTCCAGGGAGATTTGCAGGTGTGCGCTCAGCCCAGGGGAAAGTTTGTAAGAACGCAGGTAGCAAGGTAACTTAGGCTTTTCGGATGTTTGAAGCGCCGTGGTTTGGTATCAGAAGCAATGCTTGTGAGCTATCTCTTTGAGGGCTGCAGTTGCTCAATGGGACGACATATTGATGATGTCACGGATTGGCCGCTGGCGCCAGTGATACATTTTGCACGATCTCCACGTGCTGCGAATGAACACATACCTGGCGGAACACAACTGCCTGCATTTCTTCGGGGTTCAGCGGACGAATCTTAAAAAAAATATTACGCAATTTTCGAAAGGA